TGAAGCATCAGCAAGGCACAACAGCAGATGAGAGAACGCAAAGGAGTGGATTGAGCAAAGGGAAAAAAGCATCAGGTGGGAACCACATGAGTCAGGGCATCAGGTGGGGGTGCCAAGCAACAATTCCCCCACTTGGTTGGTGAGGTTAAGACATGGTTGGAAAGGGAAAGGAGTTATGGGCATGGGGTGCAGAAGATGGATCTTGCATGGCAATATTTTCAGCTGCTATCAGTGGAGAAAGTCAAGCTTGAGGAGAAAAGGGATGAGCTGGAAGATTGGCCCCAGAAGATTCTTTGTATCAATCACTTGGAAAGGGCTGAATCCCAAATGAAGAGCATCAAAGAGGGGTATAAGCAAAGGGACAAGAGGGCCAAGATGCCAAACATATGACTCCAGCGCCCTTGAGCAATGAGGAGCAGCAGATTTCAGCAGAATTGGCATGGAACCACCATGACTATATCGTGAGCCTTGTGTCCATGGGGCATGAAGAGGATCTTGCGTGGAAATATTTTCAGCTGCTATCAGTGGAGAAAGTCAATCTTGAGGAGAAAAGGGATGAGCTGGAAGATGGGTCCCAGAATATTCTTTGTATCAATCACTTGGAAAGGGCTGAATCCCAAATGAAGAGTATCAAAGAGGGGTATAAGCAAAGGGACAAGAGGGCCAAGATGCTTATGGATGCTATTCCCCAAATGCGTTGGCGCCCTTGAGCAATGAGGAGCAGCAGATTTCAGCAGAATTGGCATGGAACCACCATGACTATATCATGAGCCTTGTGTCCATGGGGCATGAAGATCTGAAGGAATTTGTGGCAAAGCCTGAATGTATGCTTGGATTCTCAGATCAGGTTCCTGTATGGGTGAAAAAGGGATCAACTAAGGCTGTATTTGCAGGCCATGAGACCTGGACACATGGGAAGACCATCAAAAAGATTAGGAGGGACCTTCAAGATGAGCTGAACCAACAAGCCCATGAGACAGGAACCCAATGAGGACCTTGAGGCATTGGATGATCAGACGAAGCAAGATTGGCAATTGGTGACCACTGAGGATCAAAAGGGTGGGGGAAGAGCTCATTTGACTATCATGACGGACTCAGCAACTGAGAAGATGAGGATTACCTTTGAGGCCCATCAGCTGGTGAGCAATTTCTTCAACCCTGATGAGGACCCCACCGGACATGTGTGCAAGGGGGCGCTCATAGTATCTGGGCAACATGCAAGATTGGACAACATTGATGACAAAGGCAGGTGGATTGAGGATGAATCATTTAACTATTTGGGAGACATCAAGCTGCATAGGAAGGGAGAGAGTGCCAGGAGGGCATTGGAGCAATGGAAGGGGTCATCCTCATTTGTTGGAGCACTATGATGTTTATTCCCAACCATCCTCCAATCAGGACAATATCATTATGTCATGGGTCATTGCAAAGCAAGGGAGGATGTATCCAGTATCCATCTATCAGAGGGATTGCTTTGCTGCTTCGTTTAGCGATGATATATACAAGAAGATGTATGCAGCCCATCAGCTACAGTCTATCATTCCTCCACAGATGACAGCTATGATGCAATTGACAGGTACAGACTTTAGCTATGTGTTTAAAAGCTTGATGAGGAAATCTGTTGATAAGATCATGGCAAAGGGGCAGCAGGCTATGGGCACAAGTGATGTGTACCAGATGGGTGAATGCAACGAAAACATAGAAAATCTATTGAAAATCATAGAAAAACGCAAAAAACACTGAAAAAACACACCTCCAGGGCGTCGTACTCTCTAAACAAAAGGCAATATTGTATGGACCAAAGTTTTTGTTCCAAAGACAGCTGTCTCCTTGCAGTTGAAGTCTGTGGATTTTTGGTGTCGGATTATTTTGGCAACTTCTAGGATTACTGGTTTTGGGGTAAACTTCTAGGATTGCTTCTGGCAGAGTTTTTGAGGTTAGGATTATTGGAAGCTAATGGGTGCAGCTGTAAGCTTAGACCCTCCAACAGCAATACTTGCTCAAGCAAGAGCAAAATACCATACAGTGCCATGCCTCAGCCTAGAAAGAAGCCAGCGCAAAGTGAAGAAACAGGGCTTTTGGCCTTGGAGGATGATGGAAGGGTGGTTGCCTCTGAGGAAGAGGAGGAAGGAGATGAGAATGTGACCAAGGAGGCAAAGGGCAAGAAGAAGGAAAAGAAATTGACCAAAGAGAAAAAGGAGAAGAAGGAAGAAAAAGAAGAGAAGACCAAGGAGACAAAGGACAAGAAGAAGGAAAAAGAGGAGAAGACTAAGGAGACAAAGGACAAGAAGAAGAAAAATGAAGAGAAGAGCAAGGAGACAAAGGACAAGAAGAAGGAAACCGAAGAGAAGTCGAAGAAGGGGACAAAGGAGAAGAAGGAACATGAAAAGAAACCTGGCGCCAAAGCAAAGCCCAAGGCCAAGGCCAAGGGAAAGTCCAAAGAAGACCCTGCAGACCCAGAACCGAAAGCAAAGGTCAAAGCCCTTCCCTTGAGAGCAAAAACAGCAGGATGGAGGACCTTGGAGGAAGATGATGAGAAGGATGGCAGCAGCTCAAGCAAGTCATCCAATGATGACTCAGCAAGCCATGAAGGGGAGGAGACAAAGAGGGACTATGGAAAAGCAAGGAAGTTTGCCAGGCTTGGGTGAAATATGGTGCAAAATGAAATAGAAGAGTGCTGCCTAGGGGGATAAAGCAATAACAATGTTCAGTTTCAATCAGTTCTGTATGATTTTTGACATTTTCAATTACATGTCAGGTTTGTTTCTCAGCAAGCATGATAGGATTGCTTCTTCAATGGTATGGTAGGATTATTGGTCTGCAAACACAATATAGGATTATTGCACAATGTTGTAGGATTATTGCTCTTTTTGGACCAAGTTGCACAATGTTGTAGGATTATTGCTCTTTTTGGACCAAGTTGGGTCACATTTTGAAGGTTCTGGATGGAGATGTGTAGGATTATTGCAAGCAGAAAGCAGGCCAGCCAAACACATTTTCTATAATATTGATATGGTTTGTCTAAAGAACAAGGTTTTGAAATTCAGACTTACAGAAAGAATTGTCTCAAGAAAGTAGCTTTAACAAGCAGAATTGCCCCAGGAACTGTTTCAAAAAATGTATTGAACAAATACATACTTCAAAAACTGCCTGAAAAAAGAAAAATTTAAACAACAATGACACCAAGAATTGTCTTTTAAACACTACAAATTATAGAATTGTCCCAAGAATTGTCCTTAAAAAAAAGTTAAATTTTTTGAAATGCACCCAGAATTGTCTTAAAAATAGTTAAAGAAAATTAACTATTTCTTTCGAAAATAGTTTTAAAAATTATCTAAATAGTTAATTTTTTAGAGACAAAAAATTGTCTTGCCCGATCTATAGGGAAGCACGAGCGCATCACTACCGGGACACCCAGTTTTCGCAGGCTAGTCCTGCTTCCGTTAGTTCGGAAGGTGTGCCTGGTGGCGTTAGTTCGCTCTAGAGAACATGCGCCCTCATATGTGATCAGCTTGCAGTAAATGTCGCACTTGCAGCATAGGCATGTAGGCATGACGTGTGTTGTAAAGTTGAAAGGGTGGTAGGAGGGGAAGTGACGCTTGGGTGTAAGCAACTGTTTTCGTGGAACCTTAGACTGTATATACAACTGACGGATCCTTTTTCAGATGGGCCGGATGGACAGACTCAAAATACGAGGCCTGTGAGCAAAGCCAAGCACTATGAGGATTCCGGTGGGAATGCGGAGGTCTTTCGGCCCAAAGATGCAGAGAAGGGCTTGGCGTTCTTGATGAATCTTTGGAGCCGCGCGTGGAATGATCAAGGCGTCTCTGGACTGCTCGAACTCCTTGATTTTTCCCCAAACAGTTTACTGTTAGGGGTTCTCAATTCTTTCTTAAGATGTGTCTGCCCTTTGTGTCACTGGTGGTGTCCGCCCTCTTCCGCTGGCCATGTAGCATGTCTATTCATTTGTCTAAAAAGGTCTGTCACTGGTGGTGTCCGCCCTTTTCCGCTGGCCATGTAGCGCGGCATTTCTATTCATTTGTCTTCCAGGTCTGTCACTGCTGGTGTCCGCCCTTTTCCGTTGTCCATGTAGCATTTCTATGGATTTGTCTCCCAGGTCTGTCGCTGCTGGTGTCCGCCCTCTTCCGCTGGCCATGTAGCATTTCTATTCATTTGTCTCCCAGGTCTGTCACTGCTGGTGTCCGCCCTTTTCCGCTGGCCATGTAGGATTTCTATTCATTTGTCTGGTGTCCGCCCTTTTCCGCTGGCCAGGTAACATTTCTATTCATTTGTCTCCCAGGTCTGTCACTGCTGGTGTCCGCCCTTTTCCGCTGGCGACGCAGCATTTCTATTCATTCCCGAAACAGTTTACTGTTGGGGGTTCTCAATTCTTCTTTAAGACGTGTCCGCCCTTTCTGTCACAGCTGGCCCTTTTCCGCTGGCCATGCAGCATTTCCTTGTCTCCCTTCTGTCTCCCTTTGTCTCCGGTCTCAACTTGTCTCCCTTCTTGTTGGTCACTGTATTTGCCTTGTTTCCCTTCTGTTTCCTTTTGTCCCTGCTTGTCTCCCTTTGTTGGTCATTGTGTCCGCCTTGTCTCCCTTCCGTCTCCTTTTGTCTCCCTTCTTGTCTCCCTTCTTGTTGGTCATTGTGTCCGCCTTGTCTCCCTTCTGTCTCCCTTTGTGTCCGGTCTTGTCTCTCTTTTTGTTGGTCACTGTGTCCGTCTTCCCTTCTTGTCTCCGGTCTTGTCCTCCCTTCTTGTTGGTCACTGTCACCGTCTTGTCTCCCTTGTGTCTCCTTGTCTCCCTTGTGTCCGCTTGTGTCCGCCTTGTCTCCCTTCGTTCTTTCTTTGTCTCCGGTTGTCTCCCTTCTTGTGGGTCACTGTGTCCGTCTTGTCTCCCTTCTGTTGCTTTTGTCTCTCATTGTGTCCGCCTTGTCTCCCTTCATTCTTTCTTTGTCTCCGGTCTTGTCTCCCTTCTTGTGGGTCACTGTGTCCGTCTTGCCTCCCTTCTGTTTCATTTTGTCTCCCTTCTTGTTGGTCATTGTGTCCGCCTTGTCTCCCTTCTTGTCTCCCGTCCTGTTTCGTCATTGTGTCCGCCTTGTCTCCCGGTCATGTCTCCCTTTTTGTTGGTCACTGTGTCCGTCTTGTCTCCCTTCTGTTTCCTTTTGTCTCCCTTCTTGTCTCGCTCGTTGTCCCCCTTCTTGTTGGTCATTGTGTCCGCTTTGTTTTCCTTCTTGTCTCCCTGTGTCTGTGGTCTTGTCTCCCTTCTTGTGGGTCACTTTGTCCGCCTTCCCTCTTTTCTGTTTCCTTTTGTCTCCCGTCTTGCGCCCCTTCTTGTTGGTCATTGTGTCCACCTTGTCTCCCTTCTTCTTCCTTTGTCTCCGGTCTTGTCTCCCTTCTTGTTGGTCAGCGTGTCCGCTTTGTCTCCTTCCTGTCTCCCTTTGTCTCCGGTCTTGTCTCCCTTCTTGTTGGTCTGTGTCTCCTTCTGTTTCCTTTTGTCTCCGTTCATTGTGTCCGCCTTGTCTCCCTCTGTCTGCGGTCTTGTCTTGTCTCACTTCTTGTTGGTCACTGTGTCCGTCTTGTCTCCCTCCTGTTCCCTTCTTGTCTCCCTTGTTGTCTCCCTTCTTGTTGGTCTTTTGTCTCCCTTCTTGTCTCCCTTCTTGTTGGTCACTGTGTCCGCCTTGTCTCGCTTCTGTGTCCTTTTGTCTCCCTTCTTGTCTCCCTTCTTGTTGATCATGGTGTCCGTCTTGTCTCCCTCCTGTTTCCTTTTGTATCCCTCTCCCTCTCCCTTCTCTCCCTTTTTCTCCGGTCTTGTCTCCCTTCTTGGTGGTCATTGTGTCCGTCTTGTCTCTCTTTGTTTCCTATTGTCTCCCTTCTTGTCTCCGTTTTTGTTTGTGCCTACGGGTGTAAAACCGAACGTGTGACTACTGCGATTTTTGAAGTTGATGCTATACGTGAAAGGTTTTTCGGTGTTTCTTGTACATGCATATATGCACGATTTCATGATATTCAATAATCGGTTTCACAACATTGTCATCCATTTCACGATAAGTAATCTTCGGTTTCATAGCGTTGTCATCGGTTTGATAACATTGTCATCGTTATCATAACATTGTCATCGGTTTGCCAACATTGTCATCGGATTCATAACATTGTCATCGATTAGTCGTGTGATTAAAATGGGGTGGGGGGGGCGGTTGTGATGGAATGAGGATGTGGATGTCATGCTGAGAACATTGTCATCGACTTCGCAATAAGTAATCTTGGGTTTCATATCATTGTCATCGGTTTCATAACATTGTCAGCGATTAGTCGTGTGATTAAAACGTGGGGGGGAGGTGGGGGAAGTTGATGGAATGAGGATGTGGATGTCATGCTGAGAACATTGCTGGAAGCTGTGCAAGGCAGCGATTCCACCGAGCGTGCTGACAAAGTCAGATGGATCCTTCAATCCAAAGATTGATGTGTACATTCGCGGATGGCAGTGGCGTTGGGAAAACACCACGTGTACTAACTTGTGCAAAAAAACTGCGCAAGTCTAATTGAGACAGGACGCATGAAAGTTGAGGACAGCCCGGGACAAAAACGGCGACGGATTTTGCGCTGGCGCTTGGGTTTCGGCAGATTCGGCTTTAAAAATGAAAGGATCCGGGACCCCCCCAAAAACATCATCGAAGAAGCAAAAGTACTGAGAGGGCTTGCACTTTTGAATCAAAATTTGCACGACTACACGTGCGATTCCACACCCGGCGGGTTGTTTGTCATTGTGTCCGTCTTGTTTCCCCTCTTGATGTCTCAAAAAGTGGACTTGGGAATGCTTCGTTGTTGTCTAACCTGTTTGGGGTCTACGGTGGTGTAATTTGTAGTGATCATAGTCTGCCCCCTCAAGAGCTACAGCGTTGCCAACCATAATTTAGCAAGTCTGGGAGACGTGGTCGCAACGGCCTGTGAAGCCGCCACGAAAAAGTGGCTCTCCCCGAAGCCGCGCCCGACCGCGCGCATACCTTTCGACATCCCAGGCCGCAGACACGCCACATGACGTCCTTTAAATCATATGCAAAACGTGTCAAGTTGGGGGTCCTGTGCTGAGCACAAAGCCGACGAGAGGAGTCGGCTATATAAATTACTTGAGCTTGGTATTGATAGTGATATGCAGTTTTAATCAGGCTGTTGGTGGGATGCAGTGTTAGTTGGGCTGTTTATGAGTGTTGATGGGATGGCTGGTAGAGCACTGAACCGTATGAATCTCAAAGAAGCGATTTCGCAAAGCATTTCCTGTCGCGGTCTTTTCCCGTTGCACGGCCAGGGAATCGGTTAAGTGACTTCCAGCGAGTCCTGAACGAGATGGCTCTGCCGGAGCTGCCGCCCTCAGCCCCCCCAGCAGCTGCGACGGTGGTCGCGCAGAGGCGGCGGGTTTGTTGGTGTGATGGCGTGTGCGATGGCATGTCATGGGATGGCAGACTCGTGGGGGGAGGTGGACTTTGGTCGTCGAGGAGTGTTCTTTTTGGGGGGGGATTGTGGGGCCACAAAGGCCAGTGTTGTCGCCTTTGCCATGAGTTGGGACCTTCACTGGGGCTTGTGGGTGGAGAGGCGTTGCATGGGACTTCCGCTTGGAGCCATGGCCGATCATGCAGATGGGCATCATCGCTCCGGTCCCAAAAGTCAAGGATCCCAATGATCTGGAAGCAGCTCGCAGTGAAGCGACAGCCAAGAGTCACTTGGAATGCCGCGGATGTGTACTGTATACTGATATACTTTTGTGTTGTGTACATCACACACAATAGAGGCGTACTGTATTTGACTTGTGCATAGTTGTATCTCTATCTCCTTGATGTGCACTTCAGTTGGCGTGATGTCGTGATTTCAATTGCTGAGGTGCACTCGACATTCCAAGGGTAGAGTCTAAGCCCGACAAGGTTGGGTCTTGCCTGTCTCTCTGAGGTGAAAGGATCCAAAAGAAGGTGTGCTCTGAGTGGGCCCTGGCTTTACGAGGACTGGAGCAGATCCGCCGTTCTGCAAAGTCACTTGTGGTTTGACTGGTTCCACTTCAACGGTGAGTTTTTAAGGCATGTGCATGTTTTGTATGTGTGTTGTGTTGTTCCTTATGCTTTCCCCATTTGCCCTGCCAACATACTATATAGAGTTATATAGTTAGCCAACCCTCCAAAAGGATGAGGGCCGGAGACACTGCACAGAGAGAGAGAGAGAGAGTGTCCATCAGGACATCGATGTAGATGAGATCACGCTTGTACATTTTGTGTCATTTCGTGTCAGAAGTCCTGCTCTAGTGCTGAGGAGAAACCACCAAGGAGTGGTCAACCGAATTCAGCCCCTGGAAGATGCTGGCTGATGGCGCCCCTTGCCTGCATCACCCTATATCACCCCTCCACCCATCTCAAAAGCAAGACATTGGAACTTGCTATGCTTTTGCCAAGGAACACGACCCTTGGTTAGATCTTTTGGCGCTCCCATCTCTCTCTCTCTCTCTTTATGATCATCGCTCCTTGGTCTGGTCTTCTCCTCAGGTCATCAGGGATGACATCATTCTTCCGGATCAGGCTCGGCACGCGGCGGAATCGCGGCTGCAAACTATATGGGTCAATCGGCTGGTCAATTTGTCGTTCAAATCCCGCCTCCGAGCTGCTGGGGACTGTTTACCGCGTACAGCTCTTACCTTCCGAGCTCAAAGCAGGACATCGAGGCCCTCGTACACCTAAGAATTCGAGGAATGTATTTCATCTAGCGTGCTTTCAACATTCTTAAATTCTCCATACCATACCCGATCCAAAATGGCATCCATTCCAATTCGGTTCGCTGTGGATATTCTACTGTTCGAAGGCGCCGGCCATGCGCTGCGAGCGTGGCCACGAGCTCAAGTTGATGCAGACCAGTGGAGGGAACCAGTGCGACAGGTGGGATCCGGCTCCCGTGAGTGGTTGGGCCCTCGGTGACTGCGGTAGGGCTCCTACAAGAGCCGGGAGAAGAGCGGCCGTGCAACGGGAGCCGCTCCTCCGGCTCGCGGCAGGTGCAACGAGAACGATGACAATCAGGGCCACAACAAGATACATTTTCGTTGCCAGCCGCTGATCCCAGAGGGTGGACCGTTGGGCCGTGATCGACCTCGGTGGCTGGCATTCACGGGCCCGTGATGCTCACGGTCCTTGTTCGGGACAATGTGCAGGGACGTGTTGAATTGGACCTGTCATGACATGCATACAATTGTGGGAATGTGTGGCGACTCGTGACCGCAAACATTTGGTGAGGCCTTGTGATTTCGATGTTTGCATCTACTGCGCGCAGCGTATCAAGGAGGCAGGGAGGGAGCCACGGTGGTGAGGATGGGGTGTACTCGTACTTAGGGTGCTGAACATGTCACCCTCAACTTCCGTAGCCGTAGAGACTGCAGTGACTGCACATTTGATCCACTCGAACCCCCGCCTGGCTTGCCGGTCTGTGGTCCAGGCCTACTGGAAAGCTCATGCGCACCACGACTGGGCGGCTGAACGGCGAGACCAGGCTGGGGGGAACCCCCCAATTGGACCGTCCAAACTCCTCGAAATATCGATGGATCAAAGCCCCAAGATGCTTAGGTGAAGGATTCAATGGAAAGACTTCATTTAAAGGTCTTTATTCATGATCATTCCTCATTGACTTCTTTCAGGCGTCTTCTTTTGTTGGACACGACGGCACCCCACCCATATGGCATAAAGATGAAGACCCTGCTCGTCCCCATTTGCTGATGACGACAGGCGATGCGCTGTGCGTGCCGACTTTCTTCCTCGAGCGCCACACGAGTGCCGGAAGAGGCTAACCGGAAAAGGGCCGGAAAATGGCCTTCAACCTAATTGTCATGGCCTCCACCTAAGACGGTCCTCCACCTATGAAGTGTACACCTTCCCACCCCCAAGAAACGCAAGATAAAAAAGGTCACAACTATGCCAACTGTGCAAGGAAGAAGGCCGCATAGCAAAATACTGTACTTAACATATGCTCGCGTGGTCCCAGGGTGTGAGGCCTCTTGCCTTCGAAACCTTCTTCAGCCGACAGTTGGAGAAGCCTCGTTGCCCTCCTGGGCGGCACATTTACAAGCGGACGAAGCCTGGAGACGAGAGGTGTGCGTCGCGCGGCGGCATAGTCAGTCTGGTGCTTTCCACGTGGCCTTAGCGGTGAGCCGGTATTGAAGATCGAGCCTTTTAGCCGAACAGCATTTTTGACCTGAAGAGGTGTTTGCATTTGGGTGAGATCTGTCATTGATTTTACCGGTCCGTGGACTGTGGGCCAGAAGCCGGCTGCAAAGCCCAAAACGTTCCCGATGGGCTGTGCACAACCAATGCCCTTTGTCTTGGCTTTTGTTCGCAGATTCTGGGACCAAAAGCAACACCCGAAGATGTGTGTCAAAAACCTCGTGCCTTTTCCAGAAGCATCACATATCAACATCGACCGAATACTTAAGATGAGGTCCCATGAGGCTTGAATGTTTTGAATGTGGTTTTCTGATTTTTGCCCCGGTATATTGTCACTCATTGACCTCCTCCATTTATATACTGTAATATGTCATTTAATCAAGGATGCCAAGAGTTGTTGATTATGCTTTGCGCCAGGTGGTTGCGTGCGAAAGAAGTCCGGGACGTGCACCATCCCATCTCTCACTCACCACGTCGTTTTGTTCCGCCTGTGGACTGTCGCCCAGGTGTGGCCGGGAAGAAGCGCTGTATAGATGCGAAAACAGGCGAGTAGTGGGGCATCGTCGATGTGCGCATCTCTGCCCTCAAGCCATGTTGCGCAGCCGTAAGCATCCTGTATCGACAACTCGTCGCCAAGTTTGTTTGGCCCTCCGTTCGTTCGAATCAATGGACTGCTTTGTTCTTATGTGTCCGTTTTCTTGTGCCTTGGGAGCGAGGAAAAAGGTACTGTATCGGGTCCGAAATGGTCAGCCAACACCGCAGGGAATGTCAGCATGCGATCTGCCGGAAGTGCTTCTTGCGTGTGCCTCCACTGCATTTATATATATATAGTGGTTCTATGTGCCGTAGTTCGAAATAACTAACTTTAACCATTGGCTCGCGATGGGTTCGGCCAAATGTGAATGGAGAATCATTGAGAGAAAAGGTGAACTTTTCTATGAAGTACTTTTGCTGGTGTGATCACCGCTCCGGTCATGTACATGTATCTCAGGAAGGCCTCAGGCTGAGGACAGGGTGGGTTCATGAACTGTCTTGTGTCAGTGGGGGATTTGGAAGACGCAGACAGTCTCAGACTCCCGTGACGAAGATAGTGAAACTTGGGCATTTGCATCATGGCCGCCCTGTCAGTACGTTGCAGCCCTCCTTCGGTCAGGAGACCCTGGGATTCTGACACGGTCCTTGAAGGGTGGCAGCTCTTGCCGGTAGACGCTGTACGATTAGATCACCCGACCAAGAAGCAGATCATGATCGCAAGGAGGCGTGAATCCTGCTTTTTCCTCGGTCAATTCGTGCCTAAGCCTGAAAGTGGACCATATTGAAGAAGAAGCTCAAGTGTTGATCCACAAGTACTTGTTTTCGTTCCGGGAGGCGGCAGGCCAAAGGAAAGCAGTGGCAGGATCTTTTTAGTAGCTCGGCTGAATCTGGGAACCTGGGCTCGGCTGAATCTGGGAGCTGAGATGGTCAGTTACTAGATACCCAACCCCATATCCTCTGTAAAATCGGGGGGGTTGGGTACTCCCATAAAACGTTTCATGAGACCCCCCTTAGGGGGACTCAGGAATTGATTTGGTAGAGAATGTTGCTTTTTGCAAGCTGGTTGTCAGTTTCAGTTCAGAATTTGAACACACTGCATGCACTGGCGGCTCAAATTTGAGAGCAAAAGAAGAACAATGAGATAGGATTGCTTGAACAGAATGTTCCAATAGAGCGAAGAGCGAACTTATTTTCTTAAGATGCTAAACTTGTGTCACTAACGGAGTGTATTGATGTAGTTCCTCATTTTTGCAAGCCTTGTGTATACTAGCGTTTTTGGACCTTTGATGGACACATATGGACACTTTTGGGTGAGTCAAAACATAGAGAAAAAAGATAAGGAATGATCATTTTATAGAAGGAACATCTTTGCGCATGTTGGACCCGCCATTTTATCTCTATAAAATGGCTAGCAAGACACCCTCACCCATATGGTGATGGGTATGTTACTAGCACCTCATGTTCCGCCGCCCTTTGTCCAGATGGGCGGGTACTGCGTAGAGGACATTTGGGTGCTCTAGCGGATCAACCTCATCCACTCAGCATTGTACCCCGCAGCACGGCTTCTCCGATGTGCCGACCAAGGCCTCCGGCACTTCCGACAGGCGCTGAACGTGGAGTTCTTTACACATCGCATGGAACCCGAGAAGGCGGCCAGCTTCTTGACGAAGCATGTGGACCGATTTCAGAGCTCCTCCAGAGAGGCCTGAGTGAGACGGATGCTGGGAAGGTTGAGGAGAGTTTCAGCGCCAAGTCGACAACATGCTGTTGCAATCTTTGCTCTAGAGCCTGTTGACCGAAAGTTCAGCTTGTTGCGCGCACCCCTAAAGCTGAATGTTCAATTTAGGATGCTGGTTAGGCACCACGACTTTCATTTAGATCGGAATGAATGTCCCTTGAAGATGAGGGTCAACAAGTCCATTGATCTGAAAGGACTCCCCAACTCTGAAGAGTTGAGGGTTTCACTCATTTGACTCACTTTCCTTTGAGCCCGGCTTTGTTTTGTGGTCGCAATTTCCCAACTCCATGCGAAAGCTTCGCCGCTGAGACCGGCCAGGTGAGGGTCTTAGAGCCCAACAAGGCGACGGGGAAGTCGATGGGACGGCCTTGGGGATCACCAGTTCGCGTGGTTGAATGGCGAAGCGAGCGGAGATCAACTTTTGATTCATGGATGATATCATATTTTGATAGTGATACATGTCTGAGGCATGTCCATGTTCTTGCGCAAAGGGCCCCCTTAAGATGGAGGAAGTGCCAGATGGATGAACACTGGAACCTTGTTACGTTAGGGTGAAGATGGGTGAAGGCTTGGCGGCGGCTCTTCTACTTCCAACTCAGTTCCTTTTGAGCTGGGCATTCTTACATCATCAATGATTCTCTTCATGTGTCATGGCCCCAGCCCGACTCCACTCGCTATTACAGTAGGTTGGAGGCCATTGCTATCAGGTAGCGGGGCAGAGTGCTGGCCGTGCCACATGCCAGGCGTTGCCACCGATGCGGCGGCCGTGGCCGACCTGCCAAAGAGGGCACTTCCTGGATCAAACCCAGTCATCAACGAAGGGACGCCTCTGCGACGTGAAGGCATAGTCGTTGGAGCTACCATTCATTGCACAAGTCAGCTCCAGATTCACCTTGGTCCCGGTCGTTTCCTGGGCGTGTCAGGATTTTACCAAACAAACCAACACGGGATCCTCGCAAGAAAACGATGATGCTCGTGCTATTTGCTTGTTTGCTTGCTCAGGTAATGTATGCGGCAAGTTTGCGGGCGGTTACCACTGCTCCCGCTGTCAGGGCTACAAAGTATGCCGCCTTTGCTATGTACAAATGCTCCACCCTGAGAGAGAGGATTCATGCACCAGCGCTGACCGGTCGTTTGGTTAGGTCAAAGGGAAAGCAACAAAAGCCTGCTTCCGCTAGGTCAGACAGATGCCGTGCAGCACAGAGAATCAACAAGGAGCCGCAGACGCAAGCACCTGCAGAAAAGTTACTCTGTTTTATCCGTTTCCGGTAAGCTTTCGGAAAGAGTGCAATTTCTGGTGGAAGCCTGATGCCAAGCTGGCTTTACACAAATTTCAGCTGAGCACTGGCTACGCCCCCCCTACGGGCAGGATAGTCTTGTGTCAATCTCTGAACAACCACCGGCCCACCTTTAAATTCGCTGCAAAGGCAATCATTATCCCGGATGTTGGGGGCTAAAGAAGTTCCAGGATGATGTTCCATGATCCATGATCTTTTCTGCAATTTATTCTGTGCGGCTTCGTCGAGGTCATTGAGGTCATGTGGCTGAGGTTGGGTGTGGTTTTTGACACCCCTCTTCCCGTCAGAAGCCTTTCTGAGGCTGCAACGCCACAATCCTTGAACAATACTTGCCAAGCAATGACTTCTAGGGCTAGGGCTTGTTTTTGGAGGTGTGTTTTTGAAGCTTATGAGCGAAGTTGTGCAAGGAGAATCACAACGAGGAGGGGACGGGGTGGGAGGTCGCAGCGGGTGCCCCTGAAATGGATGAACTGAGTTTGATCACTACTAGTGATATAAAAGTGGTAGTGCATCGTGCCATGGACTGCATTTGCAAAGCAGCCTTTTGTCACAAGTCACTGAGTGGTTGCAGAGCCTTACCCCTCTTGGACAAGGGGGTAGTCCACGCTGAGGTTGATGTAAGGTGCCCTTTTCGGTCCTTTGGGCTGGCTAGCAGCTAGCGCATGATATCACTATGTACCATTTAGAATGTAGATCTTCTCCAGAACGAACAAAGCAGGTGCTGGGTAGGTGTGGGAGACATCGAGCTTGCTGAAACGGGGTGGTCCTGAGCACCTGGGAGGATTTCCTTCGATGCCTTGCCGCCAAGCGGCGGCTCTGGCGCACACGCCCGGAGGCTGGGTTTGTGCCAAGGATGAAGTCAACCGTCCTTGCTACTAGTAGCAATGCACTTGTTACTAGTAGCGATGCCCTTAGCTACCAGTAGCTTCTTGCTACTAGTTCTGAAACTTGATTTGGCCAACCTTTAATGCCAAATCACATCTAGATCTTATAACTCATGGGCGGCAAGGAATTGTGGAAAACTGACCGTCAGTCAAAACTCATCGTGCTCTAAAACCGTGTAATGCTGTCCTGCCCTGTGGCACAGGAGCATGTCAGGACAAGCCTTCGTGGCCCGATGCCGACTGCTTTCTTCACACATCGTTTGGAGGACAGAGAGGTGGCTGCTTGTTTCCTGAAGAAGCTCCTTGGTTTTCAGAGCTTTTGGTGACGGTTGTTGAATGCACATTTGGGCATAGAGCTGGCCACCACGTGCCCAGATTCATCCGAAGGGTTCCAAAAGACGTTGGTTGGGAGGGCTCCTTTGTGGATGCACTCTGAGGTTCCAAGCGATCCTGGTGCCGCCAAGCACATCAACACCAACAGCGACGAACACGGAGAAGCCCAAGCTCCCTGAAGGGGAGCAGTAGGGAACAGTTCATCGGAGTGGAGGATGTCCAAAGCAAACACGGCTTCATATATGCCGGCATCCCACATAGGCGGTGGGACTTTCCCAGCAGTTGTATCTCTGCTTTGCCATTAAACTCCTTTTAGATGTATATGTATATATATTGCTTTACACATTATAATACATCATACTATATATAGCTAGGTATAGACAGAGGGACAGGCAGACAGGCAGACAGACCGACCGGCAAATAGGCAGACAGGCAGACAGGCAGACAGACAGGCAGACAGGCAGGCAGACACACAGACAGGCAGACAGGCAGACTAGATCAATCTAGGTTATATAGTCAGTCTTTGTTGAAGTCCGGGGTTGATTGTCATCCTCGACCGGCCCTGCGGATCAGCCGGCCGAGCCGTTTTAAACGGCCAATAACGCGTCCACAGCCCGGCTCCGAATGGGGCCGCGTCATGCTGCGACCTCCTACGGGGCCTGTGCTGAATGGGGATCTCCCGCAATGCCACCGAAGCCTCCCCCGCTACAAGTATGTGGGATCGAGTTGTTTGTGTGCTGCACTTGGTTTCACTGTTGCTTTTTCTTCGTCATAGACCTGGATTGCCGCGAGCCAGCGTGCGCGGGGTCTAGGGCAAAGATCAAGATTTTTCTTGAATGGGTAAGTGAGGGCCAGTCAATATGACATTCCAGTCCTTTGGCTGTTAATGATATAATATAGACCGTGGTTAGTCAGGAAACTTGGCAAAGGCGCCCGTTGGAGGTCCCAGGTGTATGTTAACGACCTCAGATGCCTTGGATGTGAGTGGAAGTCATGCCTGGCGCTGACATCCTGCACACCCCGTTCTCTGGCAGGGAAGGTCTACACCCGTTTTGACTGACCCGCAAGAACCCTTGGTTCAACAGTGAATTTGTCCACTCTGGTGCCATGATTTGAGGGTATCAATTGGCAAAAGCACAAAGACCAGAAATTTCCACCCACCTCCTGGGGCAGAGCAGCGAAGCCATTCGTGCGTCAGAGGAAGCCTCTTAACCTGATTGGTTCGCATTCCTCTTGGACGCATCAAGGGCGCAGACAGAAAAACGTACGCAACATGTTTTCCTGCCATTTGGCGCATTGAAAGGCATGTTTAATCGACACTTGCATGTCAAGTACATGACAACCGAGCATGAAGCGTTTACCTAGCAGGGGAGCGGTGGGCATTCTTGAAGTCACCGCTCAACGAAGGCACTTCAAGTTTAGCTGTGATATGCAATCTGGACGCAGATTGCACGTACCTGCGAGAAGCCGATGATGACGTTTTTCAAGGCTGTTTTTAGGTTCAGCAGGTGGTCAGAGCCCTCGACGGTGTTGCACTTACAGTATACCCACCCAATCTGAAGGTCGTAGACTCAGGAGGCCAACGGTTACGACATCATTTTAACGGCTTTCCACCATAACTCTTCCCAGTGTGAATAGGGTGCATGCCAGCTCTGGCAACACCGTCGAGCACCTACGGGTGGCTCAAAAAGATGGTCTTCCCCAGCGCTGTCCTGATGAATTTTTGTTGAGGGCATGTCGAATCCAGACCTCCCATTGGGGAGTTTAGAGCGGCCATCGAGCACAAATTTGCGGCTCTTTTGAGCCGTTCTCGAGCATGCCTCGAGCACAGTAGCCAGTGTCGAAGCTAGCTAAAGAGAGCGTAGTTCCCACGGAAGAACTTGCCCCCCAGTGGTGTCATGTTCAACGTGTTTTGTAGTTTCAAGTCTTGTGGGCCTCCAACCTTGTAGCGGGGGCCTCCAACCTTGCTGCGGTCGCCTCCACCTACTAGTGATGGCCTCCAGCCTTGAGTGTCTTGCAGTTGCATGCAACCAAGTCACTAGTGATGGCCAACCAACCTACTTGCCATGGCCACCGCTGAGCCCTGCAGTCACGCACAAACAATTTGTTAAACATTTCAAGTGAGCCGACTTTCTCGCCTTGCCGTTCCCTCACCTTTTTTCCACTTGGGAATAGATAACTGAAAACCAATGTCAGAGTGTGTGGGAGAACTTTTCTGATGTCGGTGTTGTGCAGGCAGACAATTATAATTATAGACATGTGGGACATCAACGAACAGATGGACTTATGGATTTCTTTAATCGTTTTGTTTTTTGTTGTTGAGTTCCCGCAGGTGGCGTGCAGACGTTCCTGTGAGTATGATGCCTTGAATGCAGCTGTTGAAGCTGAAGGCCTCAAGAAACCCGGCAGCTGTTCCAATCCAACTAGGAATGCTCAGTACTCATTTGACTCATTACCGTTAATGCTTGGGTGGACATGGACGGGTCAGGGTCGCGACCCAACACCCACAGGACACGTAAAGCTCAAACCAACGGAAAAGAGTTCAAAGGTCCCTTTGGAGAACTAGCTGCCGGTTGCATTTTGACACTCCTATGGGGTCACAATTCTGCATCGCTTATATAATTGGTCCTGCTCCACAATCACGAGGAATTGATAAGCTTCGTCCATCAGTTCAACAACAACTAGCGAAAAGGGCAACCGAGGAACAAAAATTGCCAATCAGTTTGCCACGTTGAATCACGCCATGCGTTTTTGCGTGCGCAGCATTTGCGCGTCCCCAGCATGCAGCTGCAACATGAGCTGGACTACCTCGTTTGCATCTCGCCTTTGTTGGCAGCCCTGACGGCGAGACTGGGCTTGGTTTGTGTGCCCCCCCAGGTCATTGGGGATTGGTGAGTCACAGCCATAGGAAACTTGTGGAAATTGGTGGATCTGTGTGGTCAATTGTTTTGCTACCTCTTGGACACCTCAAGGACTGTGTGTGCGCCAAGGCACGAATAAACCAGCTGTCCTGACACCAATGAATGGGAATGTTGATGTCGAGTTCGAACGGTGGCGGGCTGGTCGGTATTCTTGGCAGTTTGTAGATTGCCAGTACCACAAGTGGTTACTGTATCCATGCCAAAGATGGGCAGTTCCTGATGGGACTGGCCCAACGTTACAAGGATCCCGACCATGGAAGAAGCTGTCTCGGGACATTTGTTGTGGCCGCGCTTGATGACATGCCAGAAACTGCTCAGCAAGTATCGCCAGCTGGTGCTGACTCAGCCATCTCTTGAACACGGAGAATGGTGGCGGTTGATCACTCACCTGTTTGTACACAGAGATCCAGACCATCTCTTCAGCAACCTGGACCTAACCAACGATTCAATGTATTTTGTGTGATTGTGCACGTGTGTGCCTACTTATTTGTGTGCGTGTTTGTTTCGTTTTGTGTTGTTTTTTTTGTTTGTTTGTTTGTCTGTCACACCGGCTTGTGGACACACACACACACATATATATATTGTGAAACTTGAGTTTGCGCTTCGGTCTTGCTTTCAGACATGTTGCCGAGTTTGTTTCGTCGCGGCCTAAAAGGCCTTGAGCTTGCTGGCACGAGCATAAAGAGGCATAGCAGCCGAACTTTCGTGTGACGACCGTTTCGCACGATCGTAGAGCCCTTTGCTTCCTTAGTGGTAGCGGAGCCTTTGGTTTGGATCTGGTCGCCTTTGTGAGCCTCGCTTTGCGTAGCGCTACTTCGCTGACTTTGCCTACGGCTTGTTGGAGGCCGCCGAGCTCCGCAAGCAGACGCTTGAGGCGACTGTGGGCACCTTTGGTTGGCCAGTTTGGCCTTGCTTTGTTGCTGGACCTTGCAGGTCCGACTTTGCACACCGCTCCACCGAGGACTTCGCCTTCGACGTGCTGACCGAGCCCTTTGCACGTGCATGCGAGATGAGCGATGAGAAGGGCCATGGATATGCTGGAGGATGGAGCGAGTCAGGCTTTGACTCGTCAATCCCTGTTTGGGACGGACGAGCAGACACGCTTCGTGAATTCCGACGAACCGTGACCTGGTGGCTGTCATCGATCGACTTGTCCAAGACAAAAGGATTCAACTTGGCAGCCAGGTTCGCCATGAAACAACGTGGCTCAGCAAGACTTCGAGCTCTGGAGTTCACCCCCGACGACCTTGCCTACACCCCTGAGGTGGATGATCCGGACAATCCGGATGGTGAGAAGCTGGTCCTCCGTGAAGCTGACTACACGGCGGGCGTATGGAAGCTGATCGACGCCTGGGAGGTGATGGTCGGCAAGACCTTGAATGATAAGAAAGGTGAACTTCGAGAGAGATTCTATACCCAGAGGGTCCTTCCGGGGGGTTTTGGCTAGGGTTCTGGGTTGGAGGGGTTTTGGTATGGGTTTGGCTCTATCGGGCTGAGAACCCTCCAGCTGGTGTGCACAGAAGGTGTGATCTGTGTGACATGTACATGTTTGAAGATGTTTTGCTTGATCAAGTTCACTTTTGTGGACACGTTTTGTATGCAGAACTTTGGGGCAACATCGCTGTGGCGTTATACTGTTGTTCGTGATGCGTTGGTAATGTCATGTTTTCATTGAATAATGTGCATGGCTCAAGATCAGCTCTGGCAGCCTTGGAGACCAACCAAGGCACTGGCCTCAGACTTTGATTGCTATTCAAAAGCTTCATATTGCAAGTTGATGTTTGCAATTCAATTGACACCCGTTTGCTTTAACCGCAGCCCACTTATCATACAGCGATTTGGGCGGGTGGGCCGTTGCTACAATGAGAGGTCGTGAAGTCAAGGCGATCTACTGGAAGTGCATAGCTTTCCATATTTCCCAGACTGTTGTTTTTGAGAAGGTGATTGTGGTGAAGGGTGCAGTTGGGAAGACTGCTTCTTTGAAAGGAGCAGGGGCCTTTTGCTATGGGCAAGGCAGAAAAGCTATATAATATATATATATATATAGATATGTGTCGTGTCATTCATTGTGTGGCGAGGCAAAGCCGAAGCATCTGACCAAGCCAGGGGATCGGAGCATCGACTTGTCAGAAGCTCCTCCCCCTCTGGGGCCTGAGCCTGCAGTTGCACCTGAAGAGGTTGGAACCCCTGTGAAGGCAATGCCTGTGGTGCCAGATGCGGGCATGCGTCAAATCTTGAAGAAGAGGAAAGAGCTCAGGCAACTTGAGGTGTGGATTCATAGATTCAGAAATGTATCATTATTTGCTGTAGTTTGTTTCTGGCAGGCGCAATATGCAGAAGCTGAAAAGCGCAGAAAGTCTAAGGCCATGCCGGTCATGCCTGTGCCGAAGCCACCTGCTGCAGCAGCAGCAGCAGCCCCAAAGCAGACTGCAAGTCCAGCCCCTGCTGTGGAGATGACCACCCTTCTCCCGAAGCCTCCCCCACCTCCGCAGCCACCCATGGAGAATGCAATGGTGGTGAGGCCAGTTTGTTTTGATGTAAGATTGAAACCTGCTTTGCTACATCTTGTGTATTTTGGCAGGCACCCTGATGGAAGTTTGACTGTGGTCCCCAAGCCGCCGCCGTCAGTGATCCATGTGCACTGGAGGCCTGTTTTTGGTGTTGGATCTCACTTTCCACAATTGATTTGTTCAGGCCCCAGCCTCCACCACCAATGGGTTGGGGATGCCAGCCGCAGACGCCACAGATCCAGCACATGTCGCCGCCTCAATCTGTGCGCTAGTTTTTTTAGTTGCATTTTTGCTGCAAGGTTCATGGACCCTTGGCAGCCTTGGCCGTTTCAATTCTGGTGAGTCTATCCCTCAGCAAGGTGTTTTGATTTTGCTTGTTTTTGTAAATGTTTGTGACCTACAGTTGTTCAGGAGTCCGACCTTGGGACGCATCCGGCCGCCAGAGCTGAACTGCGATGACTGATGAAAAAATTGCTTGACAAATAAAAGGATTCCTTACTTGGTCCAGTTTTTCCTGGCTTGTGAAAACCACCATGCGAGCTTCAGATGTTGGATTTGACCCAGGTTCATGGCCAAGCGTTTGAGACCTTAAGACCCTTAGATGTTTGAGTTGCGTTGCTTGTATCTCAGAGACTGCTGTGCCTCTCAACTCAGGACCGATGGATGCGAGTTTCGGGCTCAGTTTTCACAGAAGTAGCTGTACATGTTTCCATGTGTTCATGGCCTCATGTACGGTTTGTGTTTTCATGTTCATGGTTTGTGTTCATGTTTGTTTGTTTTCATGTTCATGCCATGTTCTTCATGTGCGCATGTCACGGGGGTTTCCATGCGCGCATGCCATGCATTAAGGGTTTCCATGCATGTGTACCACGAGGGTTTCCATGTGCGCATGCCACGTGTAGCCATGTCCACTGCATGACACGCCATGCGCTCATCTCATGTTTTGGCAGGTCACGTGTTCATGGAACTGTTTGTTTGCGCGCTTCGCCCAGGGTTTCCGTAAGCACCAGTGGTGGGAACAACCGCCTTCTTTTGGTGACCCGAAGCTGCTGGTGAGATTGAAATAGGGTTACCTTGGAATTACAAAATTGTTTCGTGTTTTGCAGCCGTTTCACATTTTCACCGGCACTGCTGCACCATGGTTCGCACACTGAAGCAGCTGGCGGAAACCCCGGACCTTGTGGAGCTGTATGTGGCAGCCTTCGCCAAAGGAGAGAAACTCAGAACTGTGCAGGCCTTATAAATCTGGCAATTTTTTGTCGAAGTTTTTTGCAGCCCGCCAAGGTTGGCTTTAACTTTGTTCAAGCGTGGACAAAGGACCTCTTTGGAAAAAGCTCTGCGGTCATCAAAGATATTGAGTACAATACTGAGGCATTTTGCTTAGGGCGGTGTTTGCAGAAGTGAATGATTCTGCTCTTTGCCTGATTAGCTTTCTTTTGCCAGGCGGTGTTTGCTGTCATGTCAGTCACGCCCACTGGGCGAATGTCAGAAGAAGTCTTGGCAGCTGCCATCCAAAAGCACTACGTGAACATGGGTTTGCCACATGGTGTGGCCATAGAGGCATTAGAGGGGTTCTCCTGCCGAATGGCATGTGGCTTGAGAAAGGTAGTGACCAAGTTCCGGGCCATCTACAATGAGACCCCAAACAGTGCCAAGAGCAAGAACATTCAGCAACTGAAGCAGAGGCTTCAAGCTGTGCGCGCGCAGACTGAATCTGTCGCAAAGCAGCCCAGCCAAGAGGATTTGCAGCAGCTTACTCCTCCGCCTGATTGGGCGGCAGTGATGTCAGCGAAGCTGATGGAGTTGAAGAAGCGAAAAGAGGCTGGCAAGGATGAGCCTTCTCTTGAGGCCCCTGCGCTGTCCAGTGTGAAGTGCGGAAAGCGGCTTTGCCGACCACTGCTCGGTCCCATGTACTGCCAAAGTTTGTTGTGGAGGCTTTAAAGGAGACTGTGCCTGTACCTCCTGTCGACATGTGGGCAAAGAGGGAGACTGAACAGGAGGACAAAGAAGAGAAAGAAAAAAGACAAAGCCAAAAGGGCAAGAAGAAGAATGCCCAAGAGAAAAAAAGGAGCGCGAAGAAGGGGAAGGGTAAGAAGCAAGAGATTGCTGATGCTGAAGTGGAACGTGGCTTGGGAGGTGAAGCGCCGCCACAGCAGCAGAGTGCGTGCTTGACTGGGGCTTCCGTAGAGGTGGCTTCGATGGGTGTGAGTGGGGTCTATGAGCCGAAGGTTTTCACGCAAAAGAAGAAACCGAGAGGCTGAGCTTCAATGGATGCACAGCGATGACCGGGCGCAGTATTTGGAATCACTAGATGTGAAAGAGTTGAAACGTAGGAGATTTATGTAGAAGCTATGGCAAAAGGCCACAGCTTAATTTGCAACATAGGGGTGTCGCGTGGTGCTTTCCTACGTGAAAATGAACAAAGCTGGTTTTGGTGCTGTTGGTGTGTGTGTGTAACCCTTGGAATCATAGGGATCCTTTTTGGATTTGTCAGGTTTGCCTTTCCGGTTTGTGTTACAGCAGGGGGGCTGGTTGTTCATGCAAGTACCAGCCCAACGAAGAGGCTTGCGTTGAACACTGATATCGGTGGGGACGCTCACCGACGTACCTGCTTCCTTCGAAAATTTGAACTTTCTTGTAAAGGGCTAATGCAGCTGCAGTCACGCACGGAACGTCGTCACTTTGTCGGATCGGCTTCGCCTTGTGCTTTGGGCCACACTTCCTTTTGAAGACCCCCAGGCTCTTTAGGGCTTTCCTGGATCTTTCAGGATTTGGGTTTCTTAGGCTGGCGTGTGGCACCGCTGTCAAGTCAGTACACATATCCATAAGTGTGTTTGGCCTCGTGCCAACCCGGGATGAGCCCCCAGAGTGCCTCCCGTGGACCCGTCGAATTCCCCCAGCTCTGGGAACGC